AAAAAATGTACTGTTACCACCTCTGCTCGGGAGGGCTAGTGTGACCGTGGACAATCACTAAGGCCATTGCCAACCGAGTTTTGTAAAATCATGAAGCTTAATATGTCGCACAACGGGTTTTGATTATTGTTGAGAATTGGCCACCTCCCCGAGAGCACCGGTACATTTCTGGGATGGCCAATGTAACCGATCTCAATTACCGGTCGAGGTTAGAAAAACAATAGAATTTTATATGCCACATAACGGGTTTTGGTGTTTGTCGAGAATTGTTCACTTCCCCGGGGGTACCGAAATATTTTCAGGGGCACCAAAACATGCCAGGGAGAGCTAATCTGATCGTGGGCTGTCAATAAGGTCATTGCCGGCCAAGTTTTGTCAAATCATGAAGTTTGTTGAAAATAGGCCACTTCCTTGGGGGAACCAGAACTTTTCTAGGATGCCCAATGTGATCATGGACCATTGGTTAACCCGCCAATGGTTTGATTGCATCAATGGAGTGAGTAAATGTGATGTGCACCTTGTGGATAATTATTACAGAACAGTAAATCCCAGGGTGACCCTAACAGACACCTGAATAACTCCGGAACCATGTATAGATGCAATTTTTTCCTGACGGATTAAAAAACTTGAATCGATTACCGACTAAATGCATTTTGTTGTACCGTAAAACGGGGTAACATTGATAGTTTTCTAAAGTATATTCTAAATATGTTTTGCAGCAATGAATATTTTTTAAATTTAATATTTTTAATACAAGTACTGTGGATCCAGGAGTTAATTCGTTAGTTATTTGTTTAACGGAAATAAAAGCATTTGCACTATTTTTAAGTTTTGTGACCAAACATCGGTATTTTGATTTGGGGTTACTTTGATAATGCTCGATGAATTTAGAAAAAAAATCGTGAAACTAAAACTTCTCAGTTCTTTAAATATGAAATTTTGAATGTATACATAATCAGAAAACAGCATAGGCAATAATAATACAACATTGAATTTTTGATGGCTATATCGGAAATAGATTTCATAAATGATGGTTTGAGTGGTTTTTCAAACAGGCGAAAAATACGAAAATGGTTTTTTAATATGTTTGTGAAATATGTAACACTTTATACGATATCAATGGAAATACCCTTAGCTACAATATGGAACTAAAATATCTAATTTAAAAAAGCGCAGCGAGTAAATTTAATCGTTCTATTATACTATCAAAGTTACTCGCACTGCACTATCAAAGATACCCCGTTTACGGTACTGAAAAATATGGTGAAATTATATTTTTAGGGCTAATTGAATTTTGAAATCTATGCTAATTTAGACCTTTGGCACGCCAATGGTAACATCTAAAACACAGCGGGAACCTTTTGAGAAGTTCTGAGAATGTAATGTTAATTCCGAGGAAGTTCTGGACACTTCGAGGTAGCTCTGAGAGCTTCATGATCGTCCAGAGCTACGAGGAAGTTTTAAGATCCTTAATATTAGGTTCCGATAGTTTCAGGGAACTTCCGAAAAGTAGTGGTTTGCATTCACGCTAAAGGTCACGAGTTCAAATCTCCAAACAAGTTATGCATGACCTAAAATGTGTTTAGGTGATACTGTAAGATTTTTACATAACATGATTTTCGTCTTCTTTTCTTTCTAGAAAATTTATCTAACGGATTTTCTAATCTATGGTATTACTAAATCACTCTTTAGATATTATAGATGCTTGCTTTATTATGAAGAACTGTACAGAAAGCACTAGCACAAATTTGAGGAAAAAAATGACTGATGAGGTCGTGTTGACTTAAACAGTAATACATTGTATAACACACTAAGAAACATCTAAAATTAAAAGGCAGTTTCATTAAATTCAATAAATAGCAAGAAATTTTAAGAAGTTCCAAAAACTAAAGATATTTCAGAGAAAATCAGGAAGTTAAGAGAAGGAACTCAAGAAAAATTTCGAAACCGTCGCAGGTGCTCCAATCGATTCAAGAAAGTGCAGGATTTAGGGGACATTTCATGAAGAGACTGCCTAGAAGATACTATAACATTTTAGGCACTTAAGGGAAGCTTCCACAATTTCAAAGTGGTTCCATCAACTTCAAGGAAACTGCAGAAACTTTTAAGTAGTTCTTAACAGAGTGCCTTATATTCATTTTGGCTAGAAAAATCTTTAATTTTTAATTTTTTTAACCAATAAAACACTCAGGGAGGGCAAATATGTTATGACCCATTTATTAGTCATCCTTCGAACTACAATTTTAATTTTTTTAACTCGATTGGCGTCTCCCCGTGGCCGGTGCACCAGGTCACGTGGGTGTCCTCACGCGGAAGTCGGAAAACGGCGTGGGAAAATACTCCTTTCCATGTGATCCTGGAACATAAATCGAACAAAAATCCTGGTTAGTAATGAAATTTGGGTTAGAAATATGTATTCCGATTTTTTTTAATTATTTTTTTTCAAAAGTTGTGGCCTTAGGAGAAAAAAGTCCATTTTTTCACCCTAAAATTGCTTACAAAATCGTGGATTCAAAATCCACTTTTGACAAAATCGAAAATGTGGATACGTATTTCTAAGCAGAATTTAATTCTGAACAAGAAAACCTAGGCCCAAATTCGATGATAACTGGTTAGAGTTCGACAGTGAGCATGCATAAGGGCCTATACGCGATGATCGATTCTCTTCGTCGATTTTCTCTTTTGTTAATAACTCGCTAGATTTAACGTTTCTCGGTGCGTTTGCTGGTGCTTTTGATAGCCAATACAACCTGTTACTACTCTGCATTGAACAAATTCTTGAAAATTGTTTCGCTTAGCTGTAGCAATGTAAAGAGAAAATCGATGAATAGAATCGATCATCGCGTATTCGCCCTTATGAATGCTCACTGTCGAGTTATTTCCCACGCCAGTTTGAAAAACCCCGTTTCGAGATAAACGTGTTTAAAGATAAAATTGCTCTCTCAGCGCGCCGGTACATGTTTTAGGAAATCGCTTCGTAAAGCAGTAAGGAATATTCTGTTGGACTTGGATTCTTTTCTAAATTAAATATGCATCCCAAGGAACATTTCTTTTCACTACGTAGCGCTAGTATACACGTGAAATGCTCATATAAAATATCTCGAGTTTCCTCGAGTTGTCGGCAGAGTCGGCATAGTTGTTCAGGAGGTTAAGGCTTTTTCGCAGGTGGACAGTAGTTCAGAGTTTTCTCACTTTGCGGCGGTACTATACATGTGAAACTCTTTCATATAAAATATCTCTTGATCCTGACCAGATAGAAAATAAAAGTTTTTCAGGAAGTCAAGATCTTTTTGTTGGGTTACAACAGTACGTGCCTTTCTCGTATATTCAATAGTTCGAGATCTTGGTCAGCTAGAAAGTTTCTGTCTTCGGTAAAGATGTTTAGGGGGTCAAGACTTTTTGGATGATAAACAGTAGTTAAGATTTTTCTCGCCACGTGGTGTTAGTATACATGTACACTTCTCGCATATGCTATATCTCAAGATCCTCATCAGATAGAAAGTTACTGTCTAGGACAAAGTTGTTCAGGGGGTCAAGGTCTTTTGGCTGGTAGACAGTAGTTCAGAATTTTCTCACTTCATGGTGCTAGCATACCTGTGAAATTGTCGCATATAAAATATCTCAAGTTCTTGACCAGATAGAAAATTATTGTTTTCAGCAAAGTTGTACAGGATATCACACAATTTATGCTCGTGGACAGTTATTCAAAATACTCTCACTACGAAGCGTGAAACGTGAAATTCTCGCCTGTGATATATCTCGAGATCCTGACCAGATAGAAAGTTACTGTCTTGAACAAAGTTGTTCAGGAGGTTAAAGCCTAGAGTTTGTGAGAAAATTCTGAACTACTGTTCACCAACCAGCCAAAAGACCTGGACCTCCAACTTTGTAGTAGACAGTAACTTTCTATCTGATCAGGATCTCGAGATATAGCATATGTGAGAAGTGTACATGTATACTAACACCACGTGGTGAGAAAATTCTTAACTACTGTCTACCAGCCAAAAAGGCTTTAACCTCCTGACCAACTTTGTCGAAGTCAGTAATTTTCTATCTGGTAAGGATCTCGAAACAAGCCACATGCGAGAATTTCAGGTGTATTCTAGCGCTACGTAGTGAGAAAATTTGAACTACTGTCCACTAGCGAAATCTATCTGATCAGTTACTCGAGATATTTTACATGCGAAAATTTCGCGTGTATACTAATGCCACGCAGTGTGAACATTCTGAACTATTGTGCACCAAGCAATAAGCATTGACCTCATGAACAACTTTTTCGAAGACAGTAATTTTCTACCTATTCATAATCTCGAGCTTAGCATAAGCGAGGATTGTACACGTTTACTAGCACCACGTAGTGAGAAAATTCTGAACTACTGTCCACCAGCCAAAAATACTTGACCCCCTGAACAAGTTTGCCGAAGACAGTTACTTTCTATCTGCTCAGGATCTCGAGCTATTGTATATGCGAAAATTGCATGTATATACTAGTGCCACGTAGTGAGAATTTTTTGAACTTCTCCACCAATGAAAAGATCTTAACTTCCTGAAAAACTTTGCCGAAGACAGTAACTTTGTATATGGTGAGGATTTCGAGATATTTTATATATGCGAGAATTTTACATGTATTCTAGCGCCGCGAAGTGAGAAAACTCTGAACTACTGTCCACCAACAAAAAAACCTTGTCCTTCTGAACAACTTTTCCGCAGACAGTAACTTACTATCTGGTGAGGATCTCGAGATATTTTTAATAATGCGACTTGACGCCAGTTCCCAACTAAGTATTATTTGAGCACTACCACAGCTATTAAATAAAGAGCTTTTTAATACTCTACCATTTTTACATTAGTACAGATTGTGAATAGTAAACCCTATTTGCAAGCGGTGGTTTTAATATTTAAATAAATAAGACTAACTAATAACTTTTGCTTCATGACCATTATTTCCAACAGCCGTTAGTCTGCATCCAACTAACCCCGCACATTTTCGTTCATTCCAGGTTTCGGAAAATCTCGACGGCTACTCGCCGAACATCACCAAGTCCTACAAGCTGCAGCAGACGTGCAGTTTCCTTCGTCCACCGACCGGCGTCGGTCCGAACGTGGCCAACGTGTCCTTCCAGAATCGCAACCACTACGTAACGGAGTCGGAAACGAATGTCGATCATCCGTTCGCCAACGAAAAATTCCCCCTTGTGAACGGCGGCGGCAGTAGCGGCGACGACGGTGACGGTATCGGCGATGACGACGACGACGACTCCGTCGATCTGGACGGCAACAACGTGATAGAAGGAGCCGCCCGGAGTAAAGTTTCTCGCAGCTCCGTCACCGAACTGATGGGACTGAGTGGCGCTTCGCTACCGCCGACTTCGCTGCTGCAGTCGCAGATGATGGCGTATCTGCTGTTTATCATCTTCCTGAACTCGTTCCGGATAGCGTTGGAACGGATTGTTTTGTAAGACCGAGTTACGACTTTTTTCAGTGTAACCTTTCACTTGTTTTTTTTCCTGCGTATCTTCACGGGCGAAAGAGAGGAGGGACAAGTTTAGAACCATTTAACAATAAGTAGGCAACAAATTGCACAGACACCCACACACAGAATGATAAGAAATGACTGTAGCAGAGACTGACGAACGAAAGTTCCGATGGCGATTGCCGATACGAGGAAGGGCAAAAACCGTGTAAATAGATCAGAGGAAAGTTGAAAGGAAGCGAAACTTATTTTTGAAATGGAGAAAATTTCCTCGAAACTTCCCTTTTTTTTCGATTGTTTCCTTTTTCCGTTTTAAAGCCATGTCCATAAACTTGGAAGATAAGCGAGAACGAGGATCCGGAATCAGTCACCGGTGGTGGCGGCGAGGGCTTTCTCAATCTAGTAAACTTTAATGAAGATACTTTTATAAAACGACGAAAGTTAAGTCGAGAGCCGGACTCGGAAACGTGAAAAGTGTTTTGTAAATAGCAGTAATTGTCAACTGTAACCTGAGAGAGGAAGCTGTTTGTAAATAGTGTTTTTGTACCAACTGAACTTGAGCCGAACGGGGGTTGGGATGAGGGTAAGAGTAGCCTCTTGCCCGGGGCAAAACTTTAGCGTAGCAAGAAGCAACCAACACGAAAGTAGCGAAAGTAATTTTTAAGTGTCGTGAACAAGAAAACTAAAAACTTGTTAAATAAGGAGATGGCAGAAGAGAAGTGAAGCTGTACCGTACTTCTAGTCAGTAATCGGAGACGTATTAAAACTCTTGATTTTGTTGAACCATTTCTTGTTTTTTAGTTCCAGCTGTTTTTCTCTCTATAAATACTGTTTCCTCTGAAGGCGTCCGCTTCCGGACGCCATAGGTTTCCACCCCTTAGCCGCTTTGTTGAACCGAAATTTCGCATGTTGATTAGGGAAAGTAAGATAGCAAGCATGAAAAAATAAATAAAAACAAACCTGAAAGCAGCAGGAGTCCTTCACACCCGAGGCAATGGCATCGAGAAACGACAAGTTACCATCGCACCTTCCCCAAAATAGAAACACAGTTTACCAAGTGACTCAAAAACAAAAACGCGCGAGACAATCATAACCTTTAACCGAGAAAAGAGCAGGAAGTACCGGGACAAAACAAAAACAAGAGAATTATTTATACCGGACATGTGAGCCAGAAGGGAAGCAAGCGGAAAACCTAGAACGCGAATCTCGAATTTATGAAGAAAATGAGAAAAGTTTTATGGAAGCAAGGCAAAGCGGCAAATGGAATCGGTGTGGTGTCAGCACTTTTCGTTATCGAGGATGGGGGAAAACAAAAATTCCATGACAGTGCTTTACTTCGCCCGGCTCAGAGAGCGAGCGAGAGGTGAAAGAGATGTAGTACCCTCATAATTTGTTGGTGAGCTCTCTTCCGGCAAAAGAAAAAAAAAAAACGGGAGCCCATCGCACAGTGGGGCGATTCCATACAAAAACCGTTATGAAATGGTTCGTTCAAAATCTTAACCAGCTTTCAAATTACTTTTCAAGTAATTTGATGCTACTGAATCCACATTTTACCTTCAAAAGGATTTAAAATTTAAGGGTGGGTCATGTAAAGTTCTGGGTCGTTGTCTAGATTTTATTAAATATCATTAAACATGTTAGCGCTCTAGATCAAGACAAAATTGCTACCCTAAGGCTCCGAAAAAATTGATCTTCTTGAAAATAATCAATTTTAAAATTGATCACGAACTTGAGCAAAATGTGGTCAAGACATTACGAAAAGTCTTGGAAAGCCCTTTCAGACAGTACAAATCACATATTGACGCAATTGGGCGTTACAGATGCCAAAACATCATTTTTAGTGCAAAATAGTGATTTAGTAATGATAAAGCTTATAACAGATTTAAGGTAATTTTATTATTTAAAGTGATTGTTTCTCCCGTTAAGAATGAGAAAAAGCTATGCCCTGTACATTGAACTTCTTGAGAGACGAATGTGTCATGTCTTGCTCAAACATTTACTGCTTTAAAACGAATTTTATCGTTACCGCTATATACTAAATTTAACTGTTGTCGAATTCTACTGAAATTTTGCATCCGAGGTTAAAATCGATCTGAGAATCTAAAAAAAAAATATTATAAAATAATATTTTATGAAAAAATATTAATTTATGACCGCTTTCGCCCCACTGTGCACCGAAAGGGGAAAGGGAACTGAGGGTGTTTGCTTTACGTTTGTACTGAAACTTGAAAGAAACCTATTCGATCCGAAAAGATAGGGGTAATGTATCACAGGGGGGAAATTGACCCGCATGTGTATGTGTGTGGGCAATCAAAAAGTAGGTGGGAAGGTAGGGGGTTGCGAATCGGAAACACAGCTCAATTATGGACTTTGGGGATGTTTTTTTTTCTGCCGGGAATGGAAGAAGTTTCATGTTGAATGACGGAGTTTTGTGCTTTGAACGAATTTTGAAGCAATTTCGTGGAGCAATTTTGTTCGAACGCCATAGAAAGAGCTCAAAATTGACTGGATTAAAATAAGTTTCTTCAAATTGAGGTTTATGGGCTTATTTCAACAGTAATCTAGAAGAGATTTATAAGGATTTCCACACGAAACTCAATTTTTTACATATGCATTGATGATAATTTCTTGAAGGGATTGAGAGAGGATGAGTTCTATGCTTTCAGCCACCTTGTCTCCACAGGCAGTGTTGCCAGCAAGCAAGGATCAATAACTAACTCAGCTTTGGCTACCCCGTACAGTCCGTTACCGCTGAATTGTATCCATACTCACCGATCCAATGACAAAGCAGGTCCATGTAACGCCGAACTCAGTGACCGTGCTCCTACCGATTCACAGCACGTGGATTTTTTACAAACAGTACGCATCTTCCGTCGTCATCCAGAAAGCTGGTGATCTATTATTTTGATTGAAATTTTGAATTACCCAGAAACTTCAAGACGTGAACCAAATAATCATCCAAAGTAGTAAGTAAGTAGTCAGAAAAATGTTGGCCGCATCTGGGCATGTTCCCGGGGAAGTGGTTAGATTCTTCTTGAACCAACACCCTCATGCGACACATCAAAAATAAGATCATTGGTGGCTATATTAAGAACTGAAGACCACGTTGGCCAGATCCAGACTTGTTCCGGGTATCCCCGGAGATGTGAAACTTGGACCTATATCCTCATATGATAGCTCAAACTACATGAGAATTAAAAAATAAGAACATTAGTGGCCATATTAAGTACTGAGGACCACACTGGCCGCTGGCGCTGGAACTTTTCCTAAAGCCAATGGAACTTCTCTGAAGTTCTCAGAAATTTCCTTAAATTCTCCTCAGAACTACTCTGAAGTTCTCCTCAGAACTACTCTGAATCTCTCCAGAGAACTACTTTGAAGTTGTCCTCAGAACTACTTTGAACTTCTCTTCAGTACTACTCTAAAGCTCTCTTCAGAATTACTTCGAACTTCTCCTCAAAACTACTCTGAAGGTCGCCTCACAACTACTCTGAAGTTCTCCTCAGAACTACTCTGAATCCCTCCACAGAACTACTCTGAAGTTGTACTCAGAACTACTTTGAACTTCTCCTCAGAACTACTCTGAAGCTCTCTTCAGAATGACTTCGAACTTCTCCTCAAAACTATTCTGAAGTTCTCCTCAAAACTAGTCTGAAGTTCTCATCAGAAATACTCTGAAGTTCTCCTCAGAACTACTCTGAAGGTCTCCTCAGAACTACTCTGAAGTTCTCCTCAAAACTAAGTTCTCGTCAGAACTACTATGAAGTTCTCCTAAAACTACTCTAGACCTTCGGTGAAGTTTTCAACATTTTCCTGAAATGTAAGAAGTTGTCTGAATATTCTCTTGAAGATCTCTGAATTTTCCCGATATTCGGGACTTCTCAAAAGATATCATTACTCCCCACGGTTCTTTAAACTTCTCAATAAATTAGAGGTCTCTGGACGTCCCTAAAATTCATGGAACTTTCCTTAAGCTATCGAAGTTTTCCTAATATTCATAATTCTTCTGCGAAGCCCTAATAAAAAAAATACCATAGACGAATGATAACCCAAATGATAGTACTGTTCTACAAATGGTTTGTATGATACCCGGAACACGTCGTTAATCAAAATAACCATAATAATTTTATTGGGGAGCTCTCTTTATTTCCCCACGGTTCATGGTAGTTCTTCAAAGAGCTCCCAATTTTTTTTTAAAGTTAATTCAAATTCAGAGACTATCACTGAACTTTGGAGAATTTCAAAGCCCCTTGGATATTTTCACAAGATTGATCAATTTTGCAGAATACCTTCTACTGATCAACTATTCAATCAGATAATTCCTCACATACCGTATGCGTGATAATGTTTGCACCATTGAGCAATGTCAAAATTAAAAAAAAATCCCAAAATTTTCGTTTTCGAGTTTTTTTTTATTTATTCAAAGGGGGATGTTTATCAGAGTCTTAAACTATGTTAACCATCGATCGAGTTTCCACTTGCTGCAATAACGGCCTCCACACGCTTCCAGAATGCACGGCAGGTTATAATAATGTAGTCTGGATCCATTTCGCTCCAGATACGGGTCAATGTTTGTCTGAGGCTTTCTATACTCGGATGGCGTTTACAACAGGCCTTGCCCTTCATGACGCGCAATATTGAGTAATCCAGCGGATTAAGATAGGGGCTGGATGGCGGCCACATATCCTTCGCCCAGAACGGAAGATGTTCCTGCAACCACTTCTGAGTGCGATTCGAGGTGTGGCACGGAGCCCCATATTGTTGAAATACAACAATTAGCTTCGGACCGTTCTGTTCTTTGATCCACGGAAGAACATACTTACTTAAAATCCCGATGTAGACTTCCGTGTTGACCTTGTTGCATTCTGGAATGAACACCGGGTCCATTTTTTGCCATCGGAAGCCACCAATCCAAACACCATAACGCTAGCAGGATGCTTGGTCACGTTCTTGTGCTCGTCGGCCACGTCTTTTACCGGAAGAGAACTAATATACCGGTCGGTTCTGGAATTCGATATGGGATCAACTGAAGCATGTTCTCGTCGGTGAACAGGATTACCGGATTTTTTCGCTTAAGGAAGTTGAAGATTTTCTTGCATCGTTCGACTCGTAGCTCCCGGATGCGGCTGGTAATCATGTGAGTTTTTTTCCGTGCCCTCGTCTTCGCCCCGCAATCTTCCTTTACGATCTTCCGTGTCATAAAGTCACTGATCCCGTGTTCCTTTCCATTTTCCTTATTGAACGCACTGGATTCACCCGAATCTTCCTTTTGATAGCAGCGATAACCATCGGAACCTGTGGCCACCTTGGCGGATAGTTGTCCTTTCTTTTCTCGGTCTAAAACCCTTTTGACGGTCCACCGGGACATCCTCACGACGATTGAAATTTCTTTTTGCGACATTTGCGCGTGGGACAAATCACGAATACGCTGCCACTTCGCCATGATGCAACTGTCAAACTAAGTAAATCATTTTCTATTATACACAGCCTACTACGGTATGAGCTATAGGTTACGTGCATGCAAAGAAAACCAAGGCATTGTATGCACAGGTGAAACGGGAACCTTATTTGTACGATGGTGCAAACATTATCACGCATACGATATTTCTTCACTATGTCAGCTGAATCAGAGATTATTCAAATATCCGTATGACTCAGCCCAGCTTTCCGGAAACTCGTAATTGCCTCAATATCAGGAAAGCACGAGGTGGCGAAGTACTTATTGCCGTTTCAGTTTTGTTTAGCTGTTGCATCGATCGTAAACCCGTTGATAATTCACTTGAGCAGCTTTGGGAGACTCATAAATTGTCTAATTTGCGAATTAGCATTGGTGCACTATATTTACCACCTGATCGAAAAAAAAGCTACCTAGACAGTATAAGCAAACACAAAAAATTCACCAGAGCCACTTTCTCTAACCTCAGAGAACAAGATCATGCACTTTTGTTTGGAGACTATAATCAGTCTGGATTAGTATGGAACTCTACTACTACCGACTGTCTTGTCTTTCAGCGGAGGTGCCAAGTCCACCAGTTTTTTTACAGTTTCCAAACGAGCCAGATCTTAATTACAATAAAGCTGATTATGAAATATTGAACGAAGTTTTTCATCACACGGATTGGACGTTTTTAGAATTGACAGCGAACATTGGTCAACAGTTAGTCATTTCTCACGTATTGTTAACACTGACTTAGTGAAACATCCCAACAAACAATTTGAGTTGATCAACAGCTGAATAAGCTATTTTTAAGCTGAAGAAGCTTATTTTTGTCTGAATAAGCTCTTATTCAACATTCAATGTTTGTTGGGATGTCCTTTAACGTAGATCTTGGGGAAATGCTCATTTACGATGGCTCAAACGTATTTCGGAGATATAGTGGATACTGTACTCGAAAAAAGTAAGACAAACAAAAATGGTCGCCAAAAATTCATTTTAAGTCGGATTTTCTTCAAACTTTACAAGGCAATAGACTAAAGACTGGAACGCGCAAAAATTGGTCGACAAAAACATCGTTTCTTTCAGTCAAAATTCATATCACAAAAA